TTTATTTAATCAATTCAATTTTATCCTAATTTGAATTGCCACAATAATAAATAAAGTAGTAAATAACACAAGATTTATTGATGGAGAAAATTCTTTACAGGATTAAAAATTACGAGACCAAACCATGTTCTTTTTCTTTTAAAGGGCTATACTAGAGTTTAGGTATACCGTATACTAAATTAAGGTCAATCCATGTTCAAGGTCACCTTACCAATAGATGACGGTCATCCCAAATCTCACACACGCGGTCAAAACTCATTCACAAAATCATAGTTTGTGCAGTGTAGATAGTATTGAAGAACCATATACGAAGTACTCCACATAAATTTAAACAAAGTAATTGAAAATATGCTACAGCATATCAATTAAACTCACACTTGATCACATCACACATGTTCAAGTAAATCATATATCATCTATAGTAAAAAAATTTCCTTTTTTTATGTTTCAATTTTTTTTTTAAAAAAATCAAACTACCTCAAAAGTAAGACAAAAATGAGATGCATAAAATAATAAATGAATCATAATTAATAAATATAAGCATGCATTAAAAATATCTAATTAGTTAGGGATACAAACGTTCTTACCTTTAAAAGCCCCGCAATCAAATTTAAAATTTTTCAGATTACTCTTTTTCACCCAAACCTTGCTAGAAGCTGAATTATTCATAGTCAATTATTTTAATAACACGGTCAGTTGACTTACTTGATCAGTAAGTCAACTCTACTAGATATGTTCTGATTTCTACTTCTTTTCACAAGTCTATTGCATCTATGCCTTGTGTGTCATAACTCAACACAATTAAGGTATGTAGGAATAAATCTATGACCAAACATACGTGGTTCTTGAAATTGATTTCTATTTGGAAACATCATACGTAGTCCAATGGGATTACCTATTCTCTGAGTCTTATTAGTAGTATGGACAAATGTGGTTTTGGAAGTGCTAACCTCATGAGGATTAGAATTATCATAAATTTGACCACTTCTATTTTCAGAAGACTTGTTCATCCTTAAAAGATTATTAAGTTTTTAGGAATGATTTGTGTATTTTGTACACTTATTTGTGCCCCTAGATCATGATATTTTATTGTCTTTTGGATTAAATTCTACCTAATTTATGTTAAATTATGTTTTGTAGGTAAAACTTTATGTTTAACGAAGAATGTGAGAAAAGAATGCTGAAATTGAATGAAATCTACAATTTTGGAGATTA